TTTTTTTTTTTTTTTTTTTTTTTTTTTTTTTTTTTTTTTTTTTTTTTTTTTCTCTCTCCAATTTTTCAGTACAATGGTCCTCCTGTTCCACACGTTGCTCCTTCATGTATCACGTAAGATACCTACCATCTTCACCCTCTCTCTCTTTCTTTCTCTCTGTGTCTCTCTCTGTGTCTCTCTCTCTCGCGGTTGGTTTATCAAAGTTCTGAAGCGTACGGTCATGATGGCAATGTCTAAAATGACAGTCATTATAGTTGCATTTTGGGCAACTGTCATTGTACACACGGCCATCATGACCGTACGTTTCGGAACTTTGATAAACGTACCGCGGGCAAGAGAGAGAGAGAGAGAGAGCGAGAGAGAGAGAGTTGGAACGTTGTACAGTCCACCAACCAGCCATAGGCGCACGGCGCCATCACAACATCCCTCTCCTCCTTCATCATCTTCTTTCATAGATCGTAACCTTCGGATGAGACAAGATACTGACTTGCAAGAGCCAATGCCCGCTCCCTGATTTTTATCGCAGACTTCTTCTTTCCTGCCTTTGCATTCATCGAGGTCGTCGTTGCCCTTGTCGTTGACACAGATTGTCCACCACTAATATCCTTTCGTTTGTCGGAAGAGGGAGCCACCCCTGCATATGGGAAAGCAGTAGAAGATGTGGCAGTTGTGGACGACTCGGCAGCAAACGCCCTCTTGGCAGCAGATGCCGTGATAGCAGCTGATGAGGCAGCAGACGATGACATAGCAACAAATTGCTTGGTAGCAAATGGATTGGCAGCAGATGACGTGGCATGAGATGACGTGGCAGCAAATGACGTAGCAGCAAATGACGTAGTAGCAAATGGCTTGGTAGCAAATGGACTGTCAGCAGATGATGTAGCAGAAGATGACATAGCAGCAAATGGTACCGGTAGGAGCATCTCGAAAATTTTCCTGTTAGCTTTTAACGGCCATCAGGTAGGGGCATCCCGCAAATTAGGGACCGGTACCGGTACCGGTAGGGGTGTAACGAAAAGATTTGAGGCCCAAACGACACCGGGGTCTTATGGAAAATTTGAACCCTGCTCAGAGGGGCGCGACAGGGTAAATCGGCTGTTGGAGGAGCGCGACGCGAAATAACGCAAATTACAGGGGCGCCAGACAAAATTTCCCTAATAATAATAATAAATAAATAAAATTTTAGAATAAGTAAAAAAAAATCAATTAAAAAATGAGAAAAAATAGGGAATAAGATAATTCGAATTTTTAAATAAAAAGCTAGGTTGTTTTACCGGACGTCCGGGACCCCTGGGTTGTTCGACCGGATGTCTAGTCGGACGTCGGACGGTCTTGGACCGGACAAGGGTTGTCCGACCTAGCGCAAAAAAAAAAAAAAAAAAAAAAAAAAAAAAAAAAAAAAAAAAACCCATTGAAAAAATCATGTGGCTTCTACCTTGCATAAGGTGTATGCCACCAAACTTTTGGCTCATTTGAAGAAAAAAAGATATATTTTTTTTCTAATCCCCACCTATACCCCTCCTATCCCCACAAAAACCCCTCGTACCCCCCCCTCCCACCCCAAATAGCACCCTATCACCAAATGCTCAAAAAATTCTGAATTTTTTTATGGGGGGTCTCTATGGCATGCGCAACACTGTCATTTTTTTTTTTTTTAATGCCAAAAAGTGGTTGTCCGGGATCCTAGACAACCCCCCTACCGCACGGTTGGGGGAGATGTCCGGCTGAGACGTCCGGCCATCGGACGACTGGTAACCTAGATAAAAGTGAAAATTAAAATCAAAAAGTAAAAAAAAAAAAAAAAAAAAAAAAAAAAAAAAAAAAAAACATAAAAATTTGAGAAGGGGGGGGGAGGAGGATGAAAAAATTATGAAGAAAAAGAGAAATAGGTGAGAAAAAAAAAAATTGAAGTGGGCGGTGAGGAGATGATGAGGTTGTAGTTGGGGGATGGAAGGGGGAGAGGAGGGAGAGAAAATGGCAGAGAAAGGGATGAAAAAAGTGAAGAAGATAATAAAAGATTAGTGGAAGAGAGTAAGTAAGGAGGAGAGGGGAGAAGTAGTGAGAAAAAAAAAGAAGAGTGAGGTAGGATGAGGGAGTAGTGGTAGAGTTAAAAAATATGATTAGATGATGGGAGGAGGGGATAAAAAAAAGGTTGGGGGAGAATAGGTAGGTTATGCCAGGGTCTTGGGTGCCCAAGAGTAGAGAACACTACCAAGATCCACAAAATTTTAACCTTCAAGATGCTTATGGCTTGCTGCCGCAAAAAACAAACAAACAAATGATGATAATCTGGGTTTGGTTGAGATCTTGATTAACACCCCGATTGCACAGCTGCGCAGCCTCCTAGCTAAGGGTGTCTTCACTGCTGCCAAACTACCGCTGTAGCAGTAAAAAAACTAATCATCATCATTAACATCATCTGGGTGTGCTGAGATTTTGATAAGCCATCCAGATCCCACTGCACTGCAGGCCCCTAGTCAGGAGGGTCTTCCAATCTTCAACAAATTGCCACGTGGCACTGACCACGTGCGCAGATAGCAGCAACCATGACGCTGGGGGGGGGTTAAATAGCAGGCCACCCGCTGCTGTCGTGCTGACCACTGGCCGCCGCTCGCGAACGGGGGGCCGGGGGGGGGGGTAAATAACTGACGTGACCCTCCTCAACCCCAATGTGCCACACTGCAAAAAAATGGATATAGTTTAGCCAGTGTGTTAAGTCACAAACACTTGTTATGCACACACATGACTGACAGCTACCCAGGTTCAAATCCTGACAACTGCATTTTCGGCTATTGATATAACAAGTGGACCCCGCCACAGCTACGCCGTGACGCACAACAACACTCGTTGATACCCTCTCTCTCTCTCTCTCTCTCTCTCTCTCTCTCTCTCTCTCTCTCTCTCTCTCTCTGTGGTCGGCGGTCACATCCCCCTTGTGTGTGTGTGTGTGTGTCTGACACTGTCT